GATTAAACTGGTTTGCAGTGACATTAATTTCTTAATTTATGCCAGGAGTGGAGAGTAATAAATCTGTAACGTTCGTTATTTTGAATAGAATTCATCACTCATAAGCATTCATTCACGTCTCCTCTCTTTCTTAGGAGTTAAAATGCACAGGTTTTTCACTAGGGCCAAGCTGTAGGGAGTGATTTACTATCTCAAGGATATCATTAGATAGTGAATTAAAGATAGATTTAAAAAGAGAGGTAGGACTTGGATCAAGAGAACAAGTGAATGGTTTCAGTTCTACCAATGTGCACTATCACGGTGTTTGCATTTTAAATTGGATATCAAATCGGTAACTTTTTAATAGTGCTCAAAAATAGTATGGCCCAAATCATAGTATGTTGAAATGAGTGAGAATATTTTTTTTTAATATCACTCATTATATTTTATTTCCTGTGTTTTATTTTTATGAAACCTAGCTATATGTAATTGTAATGTTTTATAGAAGCAATAAGGCTGTGATTTACAGTGATCTTATAACAGGGGACTTTACTCCACTCGTGTTGTGCCTGACAGCGTCCTCAGCTGTTATACAGTCACAGTAAACCAGGGCTTCTGTATAACGCTTTAATGAAAGGCAGCAGAAACAATATATACATGATAGACTGTGTCTCACTGGCCTAAGCTTGCTCACAGAGATGACTAAAACAACTCACGTGAGTCACAGAGACGGGAACTCCTACAGCAGGAACTTGGGTAACACTTTCAGTAAGGGTACATGATTTTCAGTGTGAAGATCGACAGAAACCATGAAGGATCTTATGACTGTCGGGTCACTCACAGCAGTCTGACAGAACCAGTTACAGTAAACTGGGGTAAATATCACCATAAATACAGTCACTCGCAGTCTCACAAGGAGAACATGATAATGCTGGAATAGATTAAAGTTGCTGGTTTAATAGTTTGAGGTTGATATAAAACATTTATTTAAAAAATTTCATTGAGTTTGTTTTATTTATTATATTATTTTTTTTCACTCTGCAGATGGAAAATGTTCTAACTGTGAACCAAAATCTGACCCAGAATCTCGATGGTCTATAGCAGGAGTAAAAGCTGTAGTTGGAGCTGTAGTTTTGGGTCTTATTGCTCTCATTGGGATTATGATTTGCTGGTACAAGAGAAGGTCAAATCAAATGGTGAGTTATAAATATTCAGCATGATCAAGTTCTTTTTTTATTTCCTTTGTTTAAAGACATTTTTAAAATGTATGAACTATAAATGAAAAGTTTGGCAGTATACAATGATAGAAATATGTGAGCAGGGTGATAGAGATTTTGATCATTTTGAAACAAATGAGAAGTGTGAATAAATGTAAATATGTTTATTTATTTATTTACAAGAACATAATATCTATTTTATACTGTATCTTTCCGGTCAGAGAAGAAGTTCTTCCTCTTACGGCGCAGATTAGATACTGTTGGCCAGTCCAGATTCGACCATGATGAGGATGGATCTATAAGCGGGACGTGAACGGGTTTACACCAAGCGGCAACCTCCCTGTCTCTCTCTTGAAACCAACACGGAAGTGAATTAAACGGCAATTCATCGACTGGCCGCTTGAGGCTGGCAGCAAAAGTGAGTCAAATCTGCATCTCCCCCATGTTAAAATGCCCAACTTTACAGCAGAAAAAAAATATGTTTACAGCCTGGGGGGGTGGGGGGTTAAAACCCATCCGTTTAAATTATATTAAAGGTACAATATGTAAGAATTTTGTAATAAAATATCCAAAAATCACTTGCACAGTGTGATATATTTCCTGCAGTTGTGTACTTACAATATCCCAAAAGTCTCGAAAAAAAAAAATTTATTTCAGAGATTTTAAGAATTTTATTTCCTAATAAAAAATTATTTCTTGAAATAAATTCTTGATATCAACAATTGATTTTGAATGGCAGCCTGGTGACATTTCACTAGTGAAAATACAATTACACATATCAAGGATTATAGTTTTTACTAGTTGCAATTCAATTGTGATATCAAGAATTATCATTTTAACTAGTGACAATTTTATTATTGATATCAGGAATTCGCATTGTTACTAGTGAAAATGTAATTCCTGATGTCAAAAATTGCCATTGTTACTAGTAGAAATATTATCCCGGATATCAACAATTATCATTTTTACTAGTGAAAATTGAATTGTTGATATCAAGGATTCATATCCTGGAAATGAATAAAAGTTGAAACGGCCATCACAACTAAAGAGGTAATTTACAACCCTGACAGTGTTGAACCAAAGAGCTCATGTTCTCCTCATATCAGACATTTACACAATCTGTTGCTGAGCGGGAAATTAGTTACACAAAATATTTCAGCCTAAATAAGATTGATGTATTTGACTTGTATTTTTGGATTACACCGTTTTAACATAAACGGATAAACTTAATGTGAAGATATTTGTCAGTCATTCATAAATGAAACGGGTCAGATTTCTGCACTCATGCCGTAGTTTATTACATATTTTCAAAATGCATTTATTCATATTCAATAATTATCAGGATTTTTGGACTTTTTTCTCTTGACTTTGAATGGATTTCCTCTTTGTGATGAATGTATAAAAGGTTTTATATGTAATTCATAACTCAGATTTTATAGTGCAGTTTAATATGCAAAAATCAATGAAAATCTGCATCTGACTGCTGATCTCACACTGTCACTGATGGGAAGAGCCTCAACTCGACTTCAACTCATATACGGTCTCTGAACTACTGGATCTGCTGAAGATTTTCAAATTTATTTCTCAGTCAAAAGTTATTTGTTCCTCATGTTTTTCAGTTGTATGCTGATAGTGATGGTCAAATAAATTTTTTTTTTTAAGTTTTTTTTTTTGTAGCAATTGGTATATTGTTTATATAAAAAAGGCTTTTCCTGTATATGTATATATATATAGGCTATATATATTTCTAAATTCTAACAGGCGTTGCATTATTGCTGTGCTAATGGTATATCATAATGTTATAATCCCTATATTCCATTAGCTTTATTTACAAATAAGAATATTATTATGATAAAACCCCTGATGTTTTTGTGTATACAGTAGGCTATAGTGAAATAAGTGATTATGAATTTTGCACTGCAGTTCAGCGGATCCTCGGTAGAGGCCGCTATAACCTCGAACCAGCCGAGCAGATCTGGAAAACCAGGTAAAAAATGTGCTGAAAGGATATATTTATGTTATTAAATGCTTGACATTTCACTAGTTTTGAATGTCAGAGGAAAAATACAACACTGTGATGCTGAGGCAGGTTTATTTGAAACAGATATTTCAAAAACATCTCTGATTCAGCTCCGTTTACACATGATCTGATGCGTCTAGAAAGACTTTCTGTAAATGATTTACTCTGAGAAAAGCAAGGCATGTTTATTTCAGCACCGATATGAACAGTTTACAGTACGAGCTGCAAAAGGAGCTTAATTTTGATGTGTGTAACGGCGCGGTCACATTTGCCATATTAGCGAAATTTCGCGGGCAAAAAAACAAAATAGATCCTTTGTGTATAAACCACAGCTCAAACAGAACTCACTTTCTAACCAAATAAGTTTATATTGGTCTGCGGGGTGAATTCAAGCCACCAGCTTTAAAACTTGGAATCTGGGCAATTTATTTCGCGAAATGCGAGAGAACTGGTAAATGTGACTGGGCCTTAAAGGGACAGTTCACCAAAAAATGACCATTCTCTCTTTAATTACACCCTCACGTCGTTCCAACCCATAAGACTTCTTTTCATCAAATAAACATTTTTAATGTTAAAATCCATTTACAGTCCCTCCATTTAAAGTCTATCCACCCCAAACTCTGACACTTCAAAACGTTCATAAAGAGATTGTTTATTTGAGTTTCCATTCATTTAACTTGTGATTTCATTAAGTTTCTTTATGTTCTGAAGATGAACAAAAATCGATGGGTTTAGAACGACATGAGGGTGATTAATTGATGACACAATGATTATTTTTGGATGAACTAACCCATAGACTCATCAGAAAAGTCTTTAACACTTCTACAGATATATCCAGAATATAATACAGTACTGTCTCTTTAAAAAAAATTAAATCGTGTATCATACAGCAATTACTGCTGGGAACTTACAAATCAAATCAATGGACTTCACATCAGTGATGCTGTTCATATAAAGTCACAGGATTGAATGAAGGCCTCATTAAAAAGTGCATCTGTGTAAAACCTCTCGGTAAAATCTCATTTAATGGCCAATTAGTTCTAACAATAGTGTTCTGTCAGGAAGGCTTTAGGAGTTAGCGATGACTCGTGGAGAGGATTTTGATTGGCCAGATGTGGTCAGCTGACTGACCACTAGCTCACCTGATCAGAGAAAACACTTTTCATTCGTGTAATCTCTGTTTCATGTCAAATATCAAACATTTCAAGATCATGCGCATATTTCACCCCAAAATACTGTTTCGTTTAGATCTTCTTAACTAAAAATATAAGAAACTGAAGCTTATTTTTATTTAAAAATAAATATACATCGTGATAGTGTTAGTTGTATTAGTTTATGCTGATTTAAATAAAATATTATATTACAATATTTTTTCTGTAATGGAGTAAAAAAAAAAAATACTATATTGCCGTAATGAAAATTTAAGTGGTAAATTCACAATGTAAAAGATCTTATATATTTATTACATAAGTACTATATAATTATACTTTATTATTTAATTTTGGGGTGAAATATGAGCTGGTTGTGTTTTCATGATTCTGACTGTTTAAGATCTAAAGCTTGAATATGAACATCTCGTCCATATTGTTAAATGCGTTCAGATCATCTAATGGCAGATCACATTAATACTGTCATGTTATATCCACAAAAACTCGGTTAGATAATTGTGAAAAATAATATATCATTTATATAGTGTATAAAAGTTTATTCTATGATCCCGGTTTTCATATATACAGATTGGTTTACAGTTTCTACAGTGTGATGCATTATAATGCTGTCTGTTTTGATTCCCTGTGTTGTTCTGATCAGCGTCTCTCTCCTGTGGATTGTAGTTTATCTCAGTCTGATTTCCATAGTGGGTTTCTGTAGACCCATCCGTCCCCCTGCACACGGACAAACACACAGATTCACACAATACACACTCTGAAAAACTGTTCACAATGATTTCATATTAGAGCGATAAACATCACAATCTAAATGGTCCCCTTTTTTTCTAGGTAGCTTTTTAATATGTTTTGTTTAGATTTGCAGTTTTCACCACGGAATAAAAAACAAAAAAAGTTCATAACTTGCAAATCTGACTTTATTTCTCGCAATTGCATGTTTATATCTCACAATTCTGACTTGTTTTTTCTTAGAATTGTGATATATAAATAGGGATGCACCGATATGACAATTTTGGCCGATACCGATAATATACAATATACCGATAATTCTTTATATTTGAAAGCCGATACATTGGCTGATCAAATTTTTGAGAGCCTGATTACAAAAACAAAAGTCTCACCATTAAAATCCATGTCCCAGTACACAATTATAATGTTCTCATTATAATTTGATGCAGCCGATAAGACAGACTTGCACATAATGCACTTACCTCTATTGTCGTTTTTTAAGTGATTTCAATCATATTTCAAACAATTAAAAACCATAATGTTGAACAGTGCGCATCTGAAGTGTCTCAGCTGAAGGAAATAATGCATTATTTATCGCCGTTAATATATTGGCCAAATTTTCTTTTCAGGCCAATAACAATAAACAAAACATATATCAGCCAATAGCGATATGGTGGCGGATATATCATGCATCCCAAGAAACAAACTCAGACTTAAAAAAGGTAATTGCAACTTTTATTATAAGGGTATTTTTACATGACAAAGTGGCGAAAATGAAAAGTTTTTTGAAAAGTTTTGCATTCAGACGACAATAATGTCAAAATGATCCATTCACACGGAAACACTGTATTCTGCTGCCAGGCCGGTAGATGGCGATGTCACTTTGTAAGAAACAACTTCACTGTTTTCACAAATTGGCGTTTTTATAGTTTACACAAAGACACGAAGACAGTAGTGGTAGCGTTTTGCACTTTGAAACCATTTTCAAAACTTTTAATTTTCAGGCCCCCAAAACGCCGTTGTCTTGTAAATGAATGACCAAAACTATAAAAAGTTTTCTGTTTTTAGTTTTATTGTCGTGTACCTAACACTTCTGAGAAAAAAGTCAAATTTGCGAATTATGAACTTGCAATTGCATGTTATAAGTCCGAATTGTGAGCTATGAACTCAAACAGTTTATTCTGTGTAAGTGTAAACAAGCTTCCATATCAAACCCAGTTGAGTCTGTCACACACACACATGTTGCTGTAGTAGTGTGTCATGAACGTACCTCTTTGCTGAAGTATTTGGGTTTCCAGGGCATGTTGTTGGTGTCTCTCTGTCTCTCGTCGGACCGCTGGGATTCCTCCAACCGATGCTTGTGTTCAGTGGCCAGATCAATGTTTCCATCCTTCAGAGCCGCGGTCACGTGAGACCAGAGACGCCTGAGCTCAAACACACACACACACACACCGGCAGAATATCACAACGAATTTACAAAATTGAAGAAAACCATATATATTGGAAACGCAATATTTTTTTATTTTTTTTATTTTAAAGAAGTCTCTTCTGCTCACCAAGGCTGCATTTATTTCAGTATAAAAACAGTAATATTGTGCGGAATCACCTGGACTCGCGCCGGCCCTGTTTCTCCACCGGGCGGATCATCTTCCTGATGACGGGCAGTGTGTTGGTGTCGATCACTTTGGTCTCTCCGCTGCTGTATGTGAACTCGAGCGTCCCGTTCCACTCGCCCTGAGCTTTACAAACAACCGTCCCGCTGGAGTTCTGCTTCACCTCTGCACTTACCCTGAAACACACACACACACACACATCATTCATCATCATTATCACTCTAAGACTTCTCAATTACGTCTCCTTTAAAGGTGCAGTATGTAAGAATGACTAGTGGTCGGAATAGTTACTGCAGTCCAAATTCAAAAAAAAAAAAAAAAAAAATTGTGGGTGAAATACATTAATTACAATAGGAATCCATGCAATCAGGGCGAAAGATTTTGACGGGTTAAAGTTGGGCAATGGAGCTTTTTTGCCTGAGGAAATTCTCTGACGTGACAAAGTCCTCCCGGGAAATTCGTATTAACGAGTTGGGAAGTCGTAATTAAGATGTCAGGTGCGTTCAGATAACTTTGGTCGGAGCTAGAAGGCAATGTACCTTTTCTAAATAAAATTCAACAAGATTTCTGTTGTTGTTCTACAAGCAAGATGGGACAATTTGTGTGGTATTAGTCCCGCCCCTCCTCGACTGTGATTGGATGGCTAGGTAAAAAGTGACAGTGATGAGTGCTGTGTTTTACCCATTTTTTTTCAATTTTCTGCACCCGAAAAAAAAACTTGTGAGCAAAAAGTGCGCATCGCTCAGCATGAAATAAACGCTCAACCCCTCGTCACATCAGCTGGTGTTTTTAAATACACGCCGTTCCCTTTGACAACAATTTTCAAAAATACTTTGGTGAACACACAACCTTAAAGTTGGCATGAAACGTGAGCGTCTTTTCTTCTCTATTGTGACGAGTGAAACGCTTCTGGAACAAGAGCAAATGTGGGCGGGGCTTGATTTTGTCTGTGAGGAATTGATTGGATGGTTGTGGTTTGCTATTGGTGGATCTCATGTGAGTGACAGGTTATAGCCCCGCCCACATCATCAGAGAAGAGAAGAGATGCTGCAAGAGGAAGTTATTCTGATTAAAGATTACGAGGCACATTAATTTAAAACAATAATGATGTGAATGGATGAATCATTTATGATAAACGCTGCAATACTCCATAAAAAATAAGAATTGTCAATTTTGAAAATCCAGAGTTTATCACTCGTAATTATGACTTTGTGGTGACATTCATGCGCATCAAACTCGTAATCCCGATCTTTCCGACACGATGTGAGTGCAGCACCGACCTGTGAACCTTTCCCCCGTAGAAGGGTTTGGTGTGAAACGTGACGCTGGCCGAGTATCCCGTCTGTGCGCAGCTGATGGAGACCTTCCCCCCCAACTCCACCCACGGCACAGTGATGATGGACCGAGCGAACGCACTCGGGAATGTGAACACGTACTCCTCACCGTGATCCCGCAGGTGTAGCACACCTGATGAGCAAAGGTACAAACTGCGTAAACAAAGACTGAACTGTTTTGTATGATGTTTTCCCATGTGTGTATTGAGGTTATGCGCGTGACGTCACCGGCAGCCGGACACACACTGAGTGGCAAAAAGACTGAGTGCCAGCATATGTTTTCAGCGTGAATGCCGCGAAAAACACACAAACCGCATCTAAACCGGGAAAGAGCTTTGAGATTGACTGTATAAATAGATTCGACAAGAAATCTGAGGTATATTTTTACAGACTGCCGAGAGCTACAGAACAGAGATGGATCGCTGCAATCAGAAACAACTGGATCCAGGCAGCGAAAGATGGATTTGCACTTATAATTTTGTGTCAATATGCTGAATTTAGGGGTAAAATCATACGCTATATATTGTATTGTTATATAGGCCTATATAACAATACAATATGGTATGATTTAACCCCTAAATATTGCATTGACAACTCCTCGATTAAATATTTACCATCGTATATTCTGCATAAATGGATGTTTTTAAATAAACACCTTAAGTAGACGTACCTATATGGTATTTATTTAAAGCGTTCACAGGCAAATTTGCTTTATATATTTCCCCGACGTCGTAATCAGGCTCATATGAATGTCACGATTCCTTCTGCATGTCAAGATCACTGGATCACTGGATCTATGGTAAGTTGTAAGGAACACTATATCGAGTCCAACCTTTAGTTTAAACTGATAATCGTTTGTTTTACTCGCGTTTTCACAGTTTCTCCTATTAAAGCTCCTGTAGGTAACTTTTGAAAACATGTATTTGCTAAAACTGTCATTATGTCCTGACAGTAGAATATGAGACAGATAATCTGTGTAAAAATCAAGCTCCTCTGGCTCCTCCCAGTGGTCCTATTGCCATTTGCAAGAAATACACGCTCCCGGTCAGAAACAACCAATCAGAGCCAGGAGGAATGTCTTAGCAGTGTCAATCACGCTCGTGTCCGCGCTGATCACACCCCTCTCTTGCACAGCGCGAGCCGTCGTTCAAACTCAAGATTGCCGGCGTGCTGCAGCTGTGCTTATGATGGAGAAACAACCTAAACTGCCAATTCTCGAGTGACGCCTGCTCATAAAACAAAGAGGTAAAAGGAAAAAGACCGATGACGATAAACAAGCGAAAAAGAAAGAATTACACAGAGCCCATTGACTCGGTGTCAAAACTCTAGCCGCATAACATGTAGATAAAATGTCATCCACTCTGCTAAGCAACAATTGAAACCTGCTAATTCACTGGCTTGTCATGTTGCTGAAATAATGTACTAGCACACCTTATCTAGCATTATATATCGCTAGAATAATTACTTACATACTGTAACGTTAGTAACCGTTATATTAACGTTATCTTACTAGCTATTTATAACTTATAGAAAGAGTGCAACGTTATAAAGTTACATGTAGGCTATTGCAAAATACATAATGATTTGAGGACCAAGTTTGTAGTCAAAGTATGGGCAGGCCATAGTCAATGTAAAGCATATTATTGACGTTTAGTCCCTATTAGTGAATGTGCCATATAACTTTTTATCCGCCGGCCCTGTTTACTAGCCTGCGCGTTAACGACAGGCTCCGCTGTGGAGGACGAGCTGTGGAGGGAGGGCTGTAGCGCAGCAGAGAGCAAGGGGGTGGGACCTGGAAGTTGTGCTTGTTCAAATTTTCAGGCTAAGTCAACGTTTTCACAAAACTCCCTACTGCAGCTTTAAATCCAGTCACGCATCAGCTCTTCTGCCACTCAGTCTGGCGGGAAAGTGACGTCAATGCATTCAATAAGGTTCATTAGTTAACATTAGTTAACTGCTATAGTTAGTCTAAACTACTAATGAACCGCACTTATACAGCATTTATTAATCTTTGTTAATGTTAATTTCAACATTTACTACTACTTTATTAAAATCTTGTTAACATTAGTGCACTGTGAACTAACAATGAACATTTGTATTTTTATTAACTAACATTAACAAAGTTTAACAAATACAGTAACAAATGTATTGCTCATGGTTAGCTCATGTTAGTTAACACATTAACTAATGAACCTTTTGGTAAAGTGTTACCAGATTATTTTATTGACTAGATGAAGAGAGCGTCACCAACCTTCTCCCACCATGGAGACGCCGACTGACATTCCCATGAACTTGCTCTTGGTCCAGATGTGTGCGTTGACACACATGCCTCTCTCCTCGCACTCACAGTAAAACCCAGACACCGGAGGATGATGGGAAACCTGCTCCGCCACAAAACGCACCCTGAAATATTCTGACTCCGCCCCCGCCGCCTCCTGATTGGTCGCATGAGTCACACGTTCCCGAGGAACCGCCCACGAGCAGCAGAAGGTCTCGCCCCGCACAGGGTTGTAGGGCTTCTTGGCGACGGCGCCCTTGCGTCCTTCATGGAAGGCGGTCATGTAGTACTCGACAAAACGCACCATACGCTCCTCCGCCGTGTTTCCCGCAGAGATGGACAGGAACAGGTCCGGGTGCGCCATGAAGTTAGCGTACATCTCCAGCAATGAACGCTTCTCCAGGATGAATGTAGGAAGAACAACCTGCACAAACCACACAGAGAGACAAGTAATGTCAAATGAAACTCTGTGTTATCTGATACTCATGTGTTGTAATCATTATTAATTGCAAATCAGGTTTATTGGCAAAATGAGCAGGCTTTCAGCTGTTTGCAGTGAACAAATCAAACAAAAGTAATTGAAATGTTTAAAGTGGTTTCCCCAAATTCAACTGAAAATGCAACTTTTAATGACTTCTGCAGTCTCAAAATGATCCAACCCCCTGTAGAGAATCCCTCACAACTTCACAAATCTGCAAAACAGGTGTTATCTCACTAATCAAGGGCTTCATTAGTAGCAACAGGTGTGCTTGAGCTAGAACACATGAAATATCCGAACTGGCTAGGTTTGTTGAGTGTCACCTTTGACTACATGTTAGAAATATGGCCAAGTCAAAAGAATGGTCCAAAAAGTTGAGAGAAGATATCAGTTTGACCTGCACAAACCACACAGAGAGTGATGAAACTCTAATGTTATCTGATACTCATGTGTTGTGTACAGTTGTAGTCAAAATTAATTAACCCCCATAGCAAATCAGGTTTATTGGCAAAATGAGCAGTCTTTCAGCTGTTTGCAGTGAACAAATCAAACAAAAGTAATTGAAAATTTTCAAGTGGTTTCCCCAAATTCAACTGAAAATGCAACTTTTAATGACTTCTGCAGTCTCAAAATTATCCAACCCCCTGTAGAGAATCCCTCACATCAGTGCAAATCTGCAAAAAAACAGGTGTTATCTCACTAATCAAGGGCTTCATTAGTAGCAACAGGTGTGCTTGAGCTAGAACACATGAAATATCCGAACTGGCTAGGTTTGTTGAGTGTCACGTTTGACTACATGTTAGAAATATGGCCAAGTCAAAAGAATGGTCCAAAAAGTTGAGAGAAGATATCAGTTTGACCTGCACAAACCACACAGAGAGTGATGAAACTCTAATGTTATCTGATACTCATGTGTTGTGTACAGTTGTAGTCAAAATTAATTAACCCCCATAGCAAATCAGGTTTATTGGCAAAATGAGCAGTCTTTCAGCTGTTTGCAGTGAACAAATCAAACAAAAGTAATTGAAATTTTTCAAGTGGTTTCCCCAAATTCAACTGAAAATGCAACTTTTAATGACTTCTGCAGTCTCAAAATTATTCAACCCCTGAATAGAATCCCTCACATCAGTGCAAATCTGCAAAAAAACAGGTGTTATCTCACTAATCAAGGGCTTAATTAGTAGCAACAGGTGTGCTTGAGCTAGAACACATGAAATATCCGAACTGGCTAGGTTTGTTGAGTGTCACGTTTGACTGCATGTTAGAAATATGGCTAAGTCAAAAGAATGGTCCAAAAAGTTAAGAGTAGATATCAGTACAACCTGCACAAACCACACAGAGAGTAATGAAACTCTAATGTTATCTGATACTCGTGTGTTGCGTACGTCATCCGCACCCGTGTGAGGTCCATGCCGAGTTTGAGCTGAGACAGCAGTTGCAGAATAACACTCCTCTGGTCCTCCAGCACACCCAGATCTTCCTCAGAGTTACTGTCTGAATCCATCACCTCTTCATCAGGAGAAACCAGCTTCACCCCCTCCTGCTGCAAACACACAGTCACAAAGCTACAAACACTTTCTATTTCAGATAAATGCTGTTCTTTTGAACTTTCTATTCATCAAAGAATCCTGAAATAAAAATGTAAATAATTGATAATAATGAGAAATGCTTCTTGAGCATCAAATCATCATATTAGAGTGATTTCTGAAGGATCATGTGACACTGAAGACTGGAGTAATGATGCTGAAAATTCAGCTTTGATCACAGGAATAAATTACACTTTACTATATATTCACATAGAAAACAACTGATTTACATTGTAATATTATTATTATTGTATTTTAAATCAAATATACGCAGCCTTGGTGAGCAGAAGAGACGTCTTTTAAAAACCTAACAAATCTTACCGATCCAACACTTTTGACTGGTAGTGTACACTCACCTAAAGGATTATTAGGAACACCATACTAATACTGTGTTTGACCCCCTTTCGCCTTCAGAACTGCCTTAATTCTACGTGGCATTGATTCAACAAGGTGCTGAAAGCATTCTTTAGAAATGTTGGCCCACATTGATAGGATAGCATATTGCAGTTGATGGAGATTTGTGGGATGCACATCCAGGGCACGAAGCTCCCGTTCCACCACATCCCAAAGATGCTCTATTGGGTTGAGATCTGGTGACTGTGGGGGCCATTTTAGTACAGTGAACTCACTGTCATGTTCAAGAAACCAATTTGAAATGATTCGAGCTTTGTGACATGGTGCATTATCCTGCTGGAAGTAGCCATCAGAGGATGGGTACATGGTGGCCATAAAGGGATGGACATGGTCAGAAACAATGCTCAGGTTGACTTTGCCGTGGAATTTAAACGATGCCCAAATGGCACTAAGGGGCCTAAAGTGTGCCAAGAAAACATCCCCCACACCATTACACCACCACCACCAGCCTGCACAGTGGTAACAAGGCATGATGGATCCATGTTCTCATTCTGTTTACGCCAAATTCTGACTCTACCATCTGAATGTCTCAACAGAAATCGAGACTCATCAGACCAGGCAACATTTTTCCAGTCTTCAACTGTCCAATTTTGGGGAACTCTTGCAAATTGTCGCCTCTTTTTCCTATTTGTAGTGGAGATGAGTGGTACCCGGTGGGGTCTTCTGCTGTTGTAGCCCATCCGCCTCAAGGTTGTGCGTGTTGTGGCTTCACAAATGCTTTGCTGCATACCTCGGTTGTAACGAGTGGTTATTTCAGTCAAAGTTGCTCTTCTATCAGCTTGAATCAGTCGGCCCATTCTCCTCTGACCTCTAGCATCAACAAGGCATTTTCCCCCACAGGACTGCCGCATACTGGATGTTTTTCCCTTTTCACACCATTCTTTGTAAACCCTAGAAATGGTTTTGCGTGAAAATCCCAGTAACTGAGTAGATTGTGAAATACTCAGACCGGCGGAGTTCAGGAGATTGTCTTGGCCAGGACCGCACCCCTAAATGCATTGAAGCAACTGCCATGTGATTGGTTGATTAGATAATTGCATTAATGAGAAATTGAACAGGTGTTCCTAATAATCCTTTAGGTGAGTGTATATGCATTTTACACAATGTTATTCCGGTCTCAGACAGTGTGTGGTCTTACCTCAGTGTTGTGGAGCAGGTTTTTCTTCCTGAGGGAGGGCGAGGGCTCTGTGGAGCTCAGGGTCGCAGCTCCACCGTTCCCCAGACCTTCCTCTGAGGGAGACTTCGGGACGGTCCATACAGGAGCATTATCTGCAGGAACGAAGAGCACACGACCAGCGGTCAGCAGTTACACATCACGCACACACTCAACACCAGAGCAATGAGTGACCCGAGTTCAGTCCGTCAGCGCTGATGATGAAAACACCAGCCGAAACCAGCAAACACCTTATTTTTCCAGCAGAGGAAGGAATCACATCACTTTCAATACAAACATGTGCTGCTTTAACCTCCACATGAAAAGCATGTATTACCAATACAAACATGTTTTTTTTTTTTTTTTGAAATATAACAAATTAATTTTATATTAATTCAAAACTTCGGAGGGTCCGGCAGCCGTTCAGTGTGTTGTGAAAAGATGTGTTAAGCTCTTGTACTGATGCACAAACATCTCATAAATTGGTTTGGTATCAAAGCGTCAGGGCTGGATGAACTTGGCATCTGCTCTCCTAATATTTCTGATAACAGATGTCAAGTTTTCCTTACATTCAGACAGATTCAGCCATGTACAACTTATCACAGAACTGAGATATATATGAGAACTAACTGTAACTGAGAATACATATAGCTTGTCTCTGTAAATACTTTAAATTAATATTACATTTAAACATTTTATCCAAAGCAACTTTCATTGCATTCAAGGTACACATTTGATCAGTTTTATAAATAAATAAAATTAAATAAATAATTCATAAACAAATAATATAAATAAATAAAGACTTCAGTAAAGATGCATCGAAATGAAAAAACGGAGCATCAAACTGAACCTGTTCAATTTTCTTCAAAACAGGAAGTAAAAATGAAGATATTATTATTAACAAGGAAGTAAAAATGAAGATATTAGGTGTGTTCGACTTGAAGCGGCACTGTGCAGACCGATCGGTGTATATTACATCAGTGTGATAATCTCAAGCCAACATAAATCTTTAAAAAAAAAAATATATATATATATATACATATATAAAAGCAGAAAATAATGTAGGGCAAGACCCACATCAACACTATATCCGACAGCATCGAGCATCACTTCAGATTAATTCTTTAATTTCTCAAACTGCTGGGGGGAAATTCATCATGCAGAGAAACATCCATGCACACATGAGAACAGAATATGTGCAATGCTCTGACTGATCATAGTGATGAAAAGCAAACAGATCATGCAAACAAAACACAAAATATGTATTTACCTGGTTGGCGTTTCCCTCGTTTGGATCTGCAGGTCCCGCCCCATTCACAGCCCCGCCCCTTTTCCGAGACACGCCCATTCACAATCCCCGGCCAGAGCCCCGCCCCCTCATTACATATTACCAGCCCCTAATAGACCTAAGTCAGAGATCAAAGGTGTCATCTGAATTTTAATTAATTTAATTCATCAGAAACATTCAGAGCGATCAGTTTAGGATTCAGTCCATCCAGTAATATACCAATAGTGTCTCTCCAAACACAAGAAACAGAACCTGAGATCTGAAGATCAGAAATAATAAACATACAATATTTAGACCAGGAACAGAGTCATTCAGCGCTCAAGTGTTTATCCTCAAACGTGTCCATTCATATCAAGGAGGTCTCGTTTGGCCGAGTGAATCAACATTAGGAAACAAAAAGATCAAACATAAAACAAAATCAAATATAAAGTCATGGCGATTGATCTTGACGCCCAGAGTGAAGCCCTGAGTCCGTGTCAGGGTTGATCGGGAAGGTTTTACTGGATCCACTGTCGGTTGTGTTTTAGGCACCTGTGTGTGTCTTTGGCATGTGGTTCATCATCCAGCATTGAAAACAACAGGAAACAGATTCCACACACTCATACTGAAACATGCATTAAAGGGATAGTTCACCCAAAAATGAAAATTAGCCCATGATTTACTCGCCCTCAAGTCATCCTAGGTGTATATGACACTCTTCTTTCAGACGAACACAGAGTTATATTAAAAAATGTCCTGGCTCTAGATGCACTTTAATGATGGATGGATGCACTTTTATGATGGATAGATGCACTTTTATGATGGATAGATGCACTTTTATGATGGATAGATGCACTTTTATGATGGATAGATGCACTTTTATGATGGAGAGATGCACTTTTATGATGGATGGATGGATGCACATTTATCATGGATATATGCACTTTTATGATGCATAGATGCACTTTTATGATGGATAGATGCACTTTTATGATGGATAGATGCACTTTTATGATGGATAGATGCACTTTTATGATGGATAGATGCACTTTTATGATGGATAGATGCACTTTTATGATGGACAGATGCACTTTTATGATGGATGGATGCACATTTATCATGGATATATGCACTTTTATGATGCATAGATGCACTTTTATGATGGATAGATGCACTTTTATGATGGACAGATGCACTTTTATGATGGATAGATGCACTTTAATGATGGATGGATGCACTTTTATCATCATAGATATATGCACTTTTATGATGGAGAGATGCACTTTTATGATGGACAGATGCACTTTTATGATGGACAGATGCACTTTTATGATGGACAGATGCACTTTTATGATGGATAGATGCACTTTTATGATGGATAGATGCACTTTTATCATCATAGATATATGCACTTTTATGATGGAGAGATGCACTTTTATGATGGACAGATGCACTTTTATGATGGACAGATGCACTTTTATGATGGATAGATGCACTTTTATGATGGATAGATGCACTTTTATGATGGACAGATGCACTTTAATGATGGATGGATGCACTTTTATCATCATAGATATATGCACTTTTATGATGGAGAGATGCACTTTTATGATGGACAGATGCACTTTTATGATGGACAGATGCACTTTTATGATGGATAGATGCACTTTTATGATGGATAGATGCACTTTTATCATCATAGATATATGCACTTTTATGATGGAGAGATGCACTTTTATGATGGACAGATGCACTTTTTTGATGGACAGATGCACTTTTATGATGGATAGATGCACTTTTATGATGGATAGATGCACTTTTATCATCATAGATATATGCACTTTTATGATGGAGAGATGCACTTTTATGATGGACAGATGCACTTTTATGACGGACAGATGCACTTTTATGATGGATAGATGCACTTTTATGATGGATAGATGCACTTTTATGATGGACAGATGCACTTTTATGATGGATAGATGCACTTTTATGATGGATAGATGCACTTTTATGATGGATAGATGCACTTTTATGATGGATAGATGCACTTTTACGATGGACAGATGCACTTTTACGATGGATAGATGCACTTTTACGATGGACAGATGCACTTTTACGATGGACAGATGCACTTTTATGATGGATAGATGCACTTTTATGATGGATGGATGCACTTTTATGATGGAGAGATGCACTTTTATGATGGACAGATGCACTTTTATGATGGACAGATGCACTTTTATGATGGACAGATGCACTTTTATGATGGATAGATGCACTTTTATGATGGATAGATGCACTTTTATGATGGATAAATGCACTTTTATGATGGATAGATGCACTTTTATGATGGACAGATGCACTTTTATGATGGACAGATGCACTTTTACGATGGACAGATGCACTTTTATGCTGGATAGATGCACTTTTATGCTGGATAGATGCACTTTTATGATGCATAGATGCACTTTTATGATGGATAGATGCACTTTTATGATGGATAGATGCACTTTTATGATGGATAGATGCACT